TTTTTTTTTTATTTTGGTCTTCTTTGAGACAGGGTTTCCCTGTAGCCCCAGCTGGACTGGAACTCACTATGTAGACCAGGCCGGCCTCGAACTCACAGAGATCCACCTGCCTCTGCCTCCCAAGTGCTGGGATTAAAGGCATGTGCAACCATGCCCAGCTGATATTAAGTATTTAATGCTAGGTATAAAGTTATTTTCTGGGGGGCTGGAGAGATGATTCAGTGATTAAGAACACTGGTTGTTCTTGCAGAAGAGCCGGGTTCGAATCCCAGCAGCCACACAGCAGCTAACAACTGTCCATAACTCCAGTTCTAGGGAATCCAATAGCCTCTTCTGTCCTCTGTGGGCATTGCACGACACGGGTGCACTTACCTACACGCAGGCAATGCATGCATACACATAAAAATTAAAAATAAAATGTTTTTTAAAGTTATTTTCTGGATAACTGATGATAAAGACAGAATATACCAAATCTCACTGGGTAAGCAAATTTCACAAGACAGCTTCTACCCCAGAGATGAACTATAACCCTAGACTGACTTTGGACTTCTTGGTACAATAAATTTCTCTTGCACTAAGCCACCCATGCCATTTGAAATATGAGCTTCTCCAAAGGGAAGACACAGCAATCTTCAAAGCCTATAAACTTAGAATTTTGCACAGGGCTCCTACTCAGATCTCTGAGAAGGGATACTGTTCAGCTAGTGCTGAATCCCTGAGCTCTTAGGGCCTGAGATCCTGAAGTTCAAGAGAGAAATGAAGGCTGAGGCACGTACATCCAAGAACATATTGAGGCTAGATACCCAGATCTGAGAAGGGCTAAAAACTGGATTCAGTCCTTTCTCCAGTTTGGCAGTCTCTCTCTAGCATCCCCTATTGGCAGAGCTCATATGAACCGAGCTGCCAAAGCGCAAGTGTTTGCAGAGTCCTAAGTCAAGCACCCTAAAGCCAGCTGGCGGGGGGGGGGGGCGGCAATGGGGGTGAAGCTAAGGCAACTTAGTAATTGGTACAGTCTACCCCTTTAGCTAGTCACTGTTCATACATAGCCTTCTGCATATCTGAACTGCTCCCCTGCAATAGGACAGGTGTTTCCATCTTACAAGATGAATTTATCCTTCATGTAAAGGAAGATGTTCTCATCTGATCCCAAACTGGGAAATTGAAGTCCAAATAGGCATGGTGACCATTACTAAAAGACAGTTTGTGTCTTCAAGCTTTATTAATCACCACCTAGAACTTAGTCACAGCATCATGTGAATTGACTGCTACCTAAAAACAGAATTGTTCATTCTGTTCCCAAAAACAAACCACTTAAACACACACATTTGCATATATGACAAGCAAGGAAGGAAATCTGTGCTGCTCTAGCAGTCTAGACCATCATTCAGACAAATGGCTTCCTTCTGCCATGCAGAGAAATGAATCTCCTCTTTTAAGGAGATTGTGCTCCAGAGGAGTCAACAGACATGTGTGACGTTGATTTGTGTGAAACCTCCTGATAACCCTGTGTATTTAGAGAGTAGAGGGGAAAGCTTCAGAGGTCTTACCTTACCCACTGTCTTCAGGGACAAATGGGCAACTGGGGAAGCAGGATATAGGGCAGAGGCAGCTCAGCAAATGTGGAAACGTAAGGAGGCTGAGACAAATCATTCTCAAAGAAACTTGGAGTTTGCAAAGAGGTATGAAAGGAAATGAGGACGGTGACTTGAGAACAATATATTCAAGAACATTACGTCTTCAAGAGCATTCCAGAATGAAAGCATCGACTCTTTGTCTTAAATTTAAAGGAGAGCTACCACAGGATTTCACAGGAAATTTTCCAATCTTTTTTAATATTAAAGGAAGTTCTTCATTAAAAAAAAAAAACCTATGACATCCTAGTTCATTAAACACAAGCCAGAAATAGGGGTTTGTTGCAGGAGCAAAAAGTAGGGAAGGATAAGCTCACAAGAAAAGTGTAAATATGTGGGGCATTCAGTAGGACAGCCCGAAAAGAATGGAAAGCAGATAATTGGACTATCAGTAGAGAAACAGCAAAGCGATTTTTGAGAAGACATTTGAGACTAACAGTCCTTTGGGGGAGGGGAGGGGGACAGGAAAAGGCACAGAGTATCAGTCTTTCTGTTTTATAAGCTTAATCCTGAAAGGATGATGAGATCATAATTATATGACTGCTGCGTGTTTTCCTTATTTCTAAGATAATAATTTTTAGAATTGAGGACTCATTAGAGAAAGACGGAAGATGTGGGAGAACGAATATCAGTGTATCTCCTTAAATAAGAGTATAGTCTCACAACCCGACACTGTCAGCATGAGCAAGTATCTGCTTGATTGTAGTAAATCTTCTGAAATTAAGAAAATAGCTTTGTCTGAGATTAGAACAGTCTAGATATGACTGAGAGAAGTATTAAATTTGAGAACCACAGGAACCAATGAAGACATACAAAATACAGGTGGCATATCCACTAAGTAGGGATGCTGTTTCAAATTATTGCAAATAGGATAGGTGCACTATTTGGTGCAAGAGAAATGTATTGTCCCAGTGTTTCTGAAGCCAGGAAGTCCATAGTCAGGGTGTGACAAGGTTGGTTCCTTCTGGAAGCTTTGCAGGAGAACCATTCTCTGTCTTGCTCCTAACTTCTGGTAGATGTTGGCAGTACTTGAGCCTCCTCGGCTTCCAGATACATCAAACCAAGCTCTTCTTTTGGCTTCATACCACCTTCTTTGTGTGTCTCTGTGCCTCAAATCTCTCTTTTTCTTTTTAAAATAATAGTTAAGTCATTTGTTTAGGAGCTCTCCCCAAATCCAGTAAAATCCCATTTTAATATCCTAGTTGCAAAGACTTGGACAAAGAGTTGGACATGTTTTGGGGCTACAAGTATAAGATAGAGCATCTCTATAACTAGAATGTGGTTTCTACAAAGAGATTCTTCAGTGGGCTATCAAGGAATTCTGGCATTGCCACAGACAGTATGGGACAGAACCCTGGTTCTTCCACTTGACAGGTAGTAAAGCTTCTGTGCCTTGGTTTCCCTCTGGAAAATGAAGTAATGCTGTATCATAATACAGGAATGTCTAAGAGCTATTGTGGAATTTCTAAGAGTTAAACAAAAAAAAATTCTTGACATGTTTTACCTCAGATAGCTAATGAACAGCATATATTCGCACATGGTAGATTTTCTGTTAAATGCTTTCATCAATGGGGGGGGTTCTAACAGAGATAGCTTTATAATAAGTTGGGAACGGCTCTTCCCTTCCTTTGGTCTACAGTACTAGAATGCTTACCCTCTAGAGCAGTGCAGAAATAGAATACCCATAGACAAAAGGACCCTTTACATCTGTACTTGCAATGACTGTTTTTCTCTACTGCGACGCACAGGGAAGCATTATAAGAGCATGTAACATGACTATTGTGAGCGTGTGAGTGCTAAGTAATAGCACATGTTTTACCTCAGATAGCTAATGAACAGCATATATTCGCACATGGTAGATTTTCTGTTAAATGCTTTCATCAATGGGGGGGGGTTCTAACAGAGATAGCTTTATAATAAGTTGGGAACGGCTCTTCCCTTCCTTTGGTCTACAGTACTAGAATGCTTACCCTCTAGAGCAGTGCAGAAATAGAATACCCATAGACAAAAGGACCCTTTACATCTGTACTTGCAATGACTGTTTTTCTCTACTGCGACGCACAGGGAAGCATTATAAGAGCATGTAACATGACTATTGTGAGCGTGTGAGTGCTAAGTAATAGCATAAAAGCATGCAATGAGTTGCACAAGGGACACGCATAAATTCTCTGTTACCTTAGTATTTCAATGTCAAAAATAGATGTCATTTATTTATTGCTAATTTTCCCAGATAGCATGCAAAATAATAAATTTCATTATGGCATTTTTATACATGTGTAATATTGTACTTTGATCATATCTATTCCCTCCTGGCCTCCCCTACCCAAACTTCTCTTGTCAGCTGATCCCTTCCTCCCCCAGGTATTCTTGTGCTTTCATGCCATACACATATATGTGTATATATATGGACTCCACACACAAGAGAAATATGTGATATTTTGTTTTTCTCCCTTCCCATTTCCCTCTCATGGTCCCCCCTCTCCCCCATCTCCAAATTGGTCTCCATTCTACTTTTATGATGACACATCCACATATGAGAGAAAACATGCAATATTTATCTTTGTTCGTTTGGCTTATGTTACTTAAAATGGTGATCTCCAGTTTCATTCCCCTGCCCTCAGTGGAGGTGTTTAAAGCATAGTGCTTGTGTAGCACTGGAGGTCACATGTGGAATCCTAAAATACTTTAATTTATCAGTATGGTCGAGATAAAGTTAATAGCTCTACTCTTTTCTATTTTTTTCTTTTTTGGTCTTTTTGAGACAGGCTCTTTCTATAGCCCTAGCTGGCCTGGAACTCACTATGTAGATCAGGTTGGCCTGGAACTCACAGAGATCCTGTCTCTGCCTCCTGAGTGCTGGGATTGAATGTGTGTGCCACCACACCCAGCTATACTCTTTTCTATTTCTTAGAGGTGCTGGGAATACAATTCAGGTTGCAAATATTCTGATACTGAGCTATACTCCTTTATAAGCAAGTTTGTGAAGAACTGAAACATCTAGCATCCATTTTCAGACACCAGTTGCAATCTTGTCAGAATCAGCAGTATATTTTTATTTTGCTATGAAACCTAACCAGTTTTTGATCCCCATCTTTAATATGAGATTTTTATGCCAAAGTTCTAATACAAGTTGCTGAGCTAGGTAATCATTAAATGCTACCAGAAATCAAGAGCTTGAAGAAATCTTTACTAAACAGTTATTTTCGCATTTTGAAAGCTTCAAAGGCTACAACCTACCCCTGCTTTCAGAGGTTAGCTTGAAAGAGAAGGAAGGACGTGAGTCCACAGGACAATAGGATTGCCTGCTGTAGAGCTGGATGGTGCAGTCTCGTCCTGTATTCTGATCTCATTGAGCCTCTCTGCCCACAGGTGTGTGCCATAGGTTATGTTCATTTGAGACCTGTCCATCGGGGATCGCCTGGTGTCACTGAGCATCTGCTGCTTGCCTTCTTGCCATGTCTAACGAAGTAGAAACAAGTGCAACCAACGGTCAGCCTGACCAACAGGCTGCACCAAAATTGCCGTCAAAGAAAGAAAAGAAGAAAGGTATGGACAGAGTCTCTTGAGACCAGCAAAGTAGGCTAGAGCTGATTATTTCTTAAGAATTGTTAGCTTTAGGATAAAGTAAGAGCTGGCTCATGCCTAGCTACCACATGAGCTAGTTCACCTCATGTGTAATAAGACATCTCTGACTTAGGTTCACTTGGGAAACTTTCATTAGTATTTTGTTCAGTTAGTAATATAACTATCATTATCATGGAGTTATCTTTCAGTAATCTATTTACAATTTAGTTTTACTGACAAAACCATTGGGAGGTAGTTTGAGACAGGGTCTCCCTGTAGCCCTGGCTGGCCTGAAGCATGCTATGTAGGCTAGGCTGGCCTTGATATCACAGAGATCCACCTGCCTCTACCTCCTGAGTCCTGGGATACCAGGCTGACACCACCATTTTCTTAAGCCCAATATCTTGAATTTTATTAAACACTGTTCTTTTAACCTAAAGTACCAATGGCCAAGGCTTTACTTTGTTGGTTGGAGCTTAAAGATGCTGTGGCTTTCTCACTTTGACTATTACCTCTCAGCTCTAGGAATGAGACTGAGCAGGTCTTTTAAGAGGAGAAAAGGAATTGCAAATCAGGGATAATTATCTAGACTATAACATGGGGATTTATCCATAATTCCATTCTGCTCCATTGATAGTTCAAAATGTTAGAAAATTGTTTGGTAGCTTATTCTTTCATAAAAAAAGATATACCATCCTCTTGTGTTCTTTCAGAACTTGAGCAAAGTTTTGATGACAAATATCCTCAGCTCCAAAATCACGTTTCTATGACTTTCTCATCTTCAATTACGTATCTTGAGGACTTTTTTTTTTCCTTTCATTGTTTCTTTTTTCTTTTTATCTCAACTACATATTCAATATTGTAGAACATGGTTTTGATCAAAGGAAGTAAGAAAAATACAGTGAAACATCACATACATGATCGGTTGTAGTATAGTCAAGATTTATACTACCCAAATTCAGGGGATTCTGGAGCACATGTGGTCATACCCAGGGGTAGTATTTAGATATAAGTTTCATCTTGCAATTCTTTCTTTTTTCAGGTTCTGAAAAGACAGATGAGTATCTATTGGCCAGGTTCAAAGGTGATGGGGTAAAATATAAGGCCAAGCTAATTGGTATTGATGATGTTCCTGATGCCAGAGGAGACAAGATGAGCCAAGATTCTATGATGAAACTAAAGGTAAAGAGGAAAAGAATCCACTGTCTGTCTTCACTGATTGTCTAATAAGAGAATTCTAACAGGAGATTTTGTTCACTCAAATCTCTGGCATTGGAGAAGCTTTTCTAATCACATAATTGATCCACTAGTGTTGTTTTCAGAGAAGCCAGGAGTTACTCTGAGTCCTGTTCTAGAAGCCTCATTTAATAAAGGATAGCAAGATTCCAGGTGCCTTTTCATTTTTGTAAAACTCGGCACTTGGATGAACAAAGTTTACCTCTGAAGCCTCTGTCATTAAATGATCATAAAAGCTGCATGTGGCTGTGTGTGATAGGTTTTACTTTGCATAACAGACAGAGAGTAGGGGCTGGGAAGATGGTTCAGTGGGTAAGGTGATTGTTGTGCAAGTGGAAGGAACAGAGTTTGGATCTCCAGTACTCACATAAATGCTGAGTGAGTGTGGTAGCCCACCCATAATCCCAGCACTCTAGAGGCACAGTACTCACATAAATGCTAAGTGAGTGTGGTAGCCCACCCATAATCCCAGAGGAGGCACATACAGAATTCCCAGAGTGAACTAGCTAGCTAGATTAGCTGAATCAGTGAGCTCTGGGCTCAAGTAAGAGACTTTGCCTCTGCATTTAAGAATGAAAGGCAGTCAAGGAAGACACCTATCATCAACCTCTGGCCTTGCCCCAGTTTTCTCATATATCTATGCATACACATACATATACACATGTATACTGCACACATATACACATTTGAAAATAATTAAATTTTTAAAAGACTATGTAGAGTACCCATTGACCCAGAAAGTATTCAGGTAAACTTCAGGGCTTTAGTTAGAAACTAGGGTTCTTTAGTGATAATCCTTTAGTGTTTTAAATTGTGTGTGTAAGTGTGGTGGTGGTGGTGGTGGTAGTGGTGTGTGTGTGTATATACAAGGGTTCATGTGTATGTGAACATACACATATGGGCATTGATGTGGCAAGAGGTTGACACTGTCTTCCTCAGTTTCTCTCCACCTTATTTTTTGGGACAGAATTCCTATCTGAACCCGAACCTCACCAATTTAGCTAGATGTCTGGCTAGCAAGTCCCAGGGATCCACCTGTCTCTAGCACCCCAGCACTAAGGTTACAAATGTATGCCACTCTATCCAACTTACTATGTCGGCTCTGGGAAATCAAACCAGGTCCTCATGTTTGTGAGGCAAGCATTTTAATACTTGAGCCATTTCCCTAGTCCCAGAGGTTCAGAACTTTAAATTTCAGTGCTTTGCTACCATGTTAACCTCATTAAGCATTACAAGGCTTAGATGGAACATCTGTTTTTGTTTGTGTGTATGTGGGCGGGGGGGATCAAATCTATGACCTTACACAACCAGGCAAACACACCGCCATTGAGCTATATCCCTAGCCCTAGAGGGAACATCTTTTAGAAACTTCTAGTCTAGTTCCATTAACATTACCAATGACTATGCTGACATCACAAGAATTCAAGCATCATGTTCAAGTTCATATAGTTAACTAAGGAGATGTCCTGCTCACTGTCTTCTAGTCTGTCCTATTATACTCGATGAAGAATGCTTAATCCTCATGGAGAACAGCCAACTTGAAAGCAAAGCTGCCTTTCAGATTTTCACTATCAGAAGCATTGTGGAGTACTTTAAATTAGATTTCTCTCATTTTCCCAACCTCAGGGAATGGCAGCCGCTGGTCGTTCTCAGGGACAACACAAGCAAAGGATCTGGGTCAACATTTCCCTGTCTGGCATAAAAATAATCGATGAGAAAACTGGGGTAAGAATTTGTACTCACTGACTACCTGAGTCTGACAATGTGCTAGCTGAATTCCAGAAAGAAATTGCTTTCTATTCCCCAAAATTCTGTAGGGAAAAAAATAGTAACATGCACCACTTCTCCAGAATAGGCAGAAACACAGAATTGGAAGAGTCAAGGTACTATATTTTGAACTTTATTTCTGGTAAGAGATGTAAAGAAGCCATAAATATAGGTCTGCTACCACTGTCACATAGATATTTGTTCAGGAATTTAGATTGAATCAGGTTAATCTAGTCCCTGGCTTTAGCCTCTTTGTACATCCCTTCATATGGGTGTCTGATGTCTCCCTGTGCTAGCCTGAAAGTAGATTCTCTTTTTCCTCAATGTCTTTATGTTCCTTTTTAAGGTAATAGAGCATGAACATCCAGTAAATAAGATTTCTTTCATTGCTCGTGATGTGACAGACAACCGAGCATTTGGTTATGTGTGTGGAGGAGAAGGCCAGCATCAATTTTTCGCCATAAAAACAGGACAACAGGTAAGCTTCAAGACTTGGGGACTAGTCCTCTGTTGAGTATATGAGTGTTTGTCACTCAATGAGAAAACTTACTGGAAATAATTCCTTAGGCTGTCAGTGTTCTTTAGGTCAATCATGACTCAGAAAATGACTATTGGCCTAAAGAATATATTTTAAATGTCACTGATACGCATGGATGTGGCATAAGAATTATGAGAATGATTTTTCTAATCATGCTAATACTGAATTTAGAACAGTAGTGGATTATTCCCAGAAACCTTGAAGCAAGTCCAAAAATAGTCTCTGTACCTCTTGCTTTATCTGGATACTTGAAAAATTACATTGCGACAACTGTGTTTTTAACATTAGTACATTAGTATAACATTTACTAACCCTCTGTCCTTTAGTTATCTGAGGTTGGTAATCCTCTGTAAACCAGGGAAGGGTAGTAAGGAATTTCAAGAGAAAGAAAAGTATTAATGAGAACCGATCATGAAATGCTGTATATGTTTTCTCTTGCTTCAGGCTGAGCCATTAGTTGTTGACCTTAAAGACCTTTTCCAAGTTATCTACAATGTAAAGAAAAAGGAAGAAGAAAAGAAAAAGGCAAGTACTGCTTGATAGAAGTTCTATTGAATTCAAGACTGTATTCATTTTACCTGATTCTTTTCGTTTGTTTTGGTTTGGTTTGGGGTTTTTGAGACATGGTCTCCCTGCAGCCCCAGCTGGCCTGGAACTCACTATGTAGATCAGGCTGACCTTGAACTTACAAAGATCTGCCTGCCTCTGCCTCCTGAGCACTGGGATTAAAAGGCATACACCACCATGCCTAGCTCAGGACCATTTTTAATGTCAGGTAAACATATGCCCTGTCTGAAGAGTTGGGCTTCTGTCCTTCAAAGTATAGAAATCCCAATAAGGCAATGGATGGATTTTGTGGTTAGGGACTTCCAACTTGTAGTCCCTAACTCCCTACAACTTTCATTATTAGTTACAGGACTGGACATAAAAAGCTATCATAAATCTAGAAAGTGTTCAAATCCATTATTTATATGAAATGGGGAGGCAAAAAAAAGTAAGGCCAGATACTTTGCCTTCTGCCTATGAACCTATGATATTTGTTCTTTCATTAACTCTCTTCATAAATGATAAGCTCATTGAATTTGTATCTCTTTTTAGGCTGAAGAAGCTAACAAAGCTGTTGAGGTAAAGCCACCTCTTTACTTCTTGTGGAATATGTTGAAACCCTTTTTGCTCCCTGACCAAGCACTCGCCTCTCCTGGCTTGTTACTCTGTGCTAGTGACCACTCTCATCCTGGAAGACACATAGTTACATGATCAGTTCCCAAATTGTAATTGCTCAATACACCAGTAGGGTAGAAAAATAAATTCTATGGAGAGAGCTCATCAATTAAACCCTTAAATATTCACCTCTTTTTCAGAATGGGAATGAGACCCTCTTGACCCTTGATGATCAAGCTAACAAACTGAAGTTGGTACGTTTGTGATGTTTTACCATTCTTACGTGAACATGGGTTCCACTTCCTGTAGATGTTGCTAATCCCAGACCTGTGTATTGACTCCATATGAAAATTCAATTGGAGCAAATATTTTCCCATTCATATAATTATCTATGTCAATATACAACATAATCTTTTCAGCAAAGCATCTGAATCAAATCAAGTGCTTTTTTAGGGGTGTTGACCGGATGCATTTGTTTGGGAACATGTCTACAATTCCTAACATTAGCCACTTAATATCAAGTCTGTATGAAATCACCCACAATCCAATTGTGACAACAATTTTCTCTAGTTTAGGACACAAACAATTACAACTATGTACAAAGTAATTGTAAATAGTAGACACATCTGAATCTAATCCAAATACTTTTTTAAGGGTATTGACCAGATGGATTTGTTTGGGGACATGTCTACACCTCCTGACCTTAATAGCCCAACAGTAAGTGTTTTGTTTATAAATTTGCAATGTAATTGAAATAACATCTATAATCCAAACTGACAATTAACCAGAAAGTTTGTTCACTTAATTGAAACTTAGAATACCTTGATTTTTCCTCACGAAATATAAATGGCTACTAGAAAAATAAATCTTAAGTCACCATAGGAATCTATCCATACTAATTCAGACATATTAGTATAGCATAGGTGTTAAATCTAAGGTACTGGTCAGGCAATGTAATCCCTCTTGGGAATAACTTGGGATCCAAAAGAAGATCTGATTAATGATTCTTTGCATATGTCTACTTGAAGGAAGTATGTTGTTAAATGATTGATCATAAAATTGCTTAGCTTTTTTTTTAATTTCTTCTCTTTCTTTTGCAATTCAGCAGCATGAGCTTGTCATGAAATAAGAGTTAAACAAGTTCAGTTAATGATATCAGTGCTTATCTTTATTAGGAAATAACCCATTTTTACATAGCATTGTGGTAACAAGTCTTCTCAATATTGATGGATGAGTCAACCATGTAAGAATACAGCAATATTTTTCTGCATAGATAAGAAAATATTGGTTAAACAAAAACCTCATTTACCCAAGAAAGATGCTCACATTCAAAGCTTAAGCTCTGGTCTTCAGATCATCTGAAAAACAGGTCTTTTTGAATGACTTCTGTCAACTTCTATTGTTTATTTGCAAGCTTCTTGGGCACTTACTATTGCAAGGCAGCACAGCAGCAGTAAGATGGGCATCAGTGCCATCATGGAACGTGCTGTCTCACAGGAACATTAAGACTCTCGTAACAAAGTCAATTAAATGGTGTCAATTACAGGATATTCACCTGTTTTGCAGATTCAGATAATGCTTCTAAGAAAGGGAGCTTCTAGACTTGAAAGTGAAGGATGAAAAGACAATAATGAGAGAAGCAGAGACTTAGTAGAAATAAGACTAATGAGGGAAATGACTGGCTGGCACTCTCTTACACTGGGAAAATATCAAGTAAGCCTACAAGAAGATCTCAGGAATTCGAGCAAGTTGGAGACTGGGAAAGAGTCTCACTTCCCAGAGTACTTTTGTGAAACTCAACCTTCAGAACCTCACTGCATAAACCCACAAGCCAGCTAAAGCAGGGGAAGATCCTCATGCACTATTCTCTGTTCTCTGTCCCCCTGTGTGAATCATACTGATTAGTGACATCTTGATCTTTGTCAAGCCTACAATAGAAGAGCTAGAACTGCTTAATAATCTTTCAAACAAGTTTATTCATAAAACCTTTCATTTTTCTAATGCTTATTGCTATTTTAAGGATAAACCTTTTTGTGTTGTTTAGGGGTTTTGGGGGGTTTTTGTTTTGTTTTTGTTTTTGGAGACAGGCTCTCATTATGTAGTCCTTGGTGACCTGGAACTTGCTATGTAGTCCAGGTTGCTCTCACACTCACAGAGGTCTGCCTACCTCTGCCTCTCCAGTGCTGAAACTAAAGGCATGTGCCACCATGCCCAGCTAAGGATAAATTACATACCAGGTTAGATGCCACTGATAGGACCATTCTCCTTCTGAGCTCCTTTTGATTCTGAAACAATTTTGCCAGTCCTCCCTTAGTAGCCCCTTCCTCGGAGGAAATTGGTATCTGAACAATCTTCTTCCCAGGTATGACATTCAAACAGGCATAACAAGAGAGAGCAAAACTCTCAAGACATCAGTGGAATTGCAGAGGAAGAAGCAAGAAAGCACTGACTGTTTAATCAGCTTTTATAGAGCTCTGAAACATTCTGCCAAAGGAAATGAGAAACAACATGGGAGATCCTTATTTTTATCAGGTTTCTTACACTCTAAGAATTTTTTATGTGTAGAAATTCAAGTTTTGGATTAACAGTAAATTAAGTATATAAGTATAATCAAAGTAGATGGTATCTGGTAAGTAGAAACAAGCTAACAGGGCTAATTATGTGCTAGCTAGATTTTGGCAGCATGTTCTTGCATATTGACTCCATATGCAGAGATCACAAAATAGATTTATCTCTGGTTGGCAAAGCCAGCGTGCTTAAAACTATTAAACTCTTACAACAACTGTTCTGGAAAATGCGAAGTGTGGAAGAAATCTATATTACTTAGACTTTATCAGTGGTCCCAAGTGACTGTAGCTTCTCCCAAATTGATACACAAAACTTTCATGTACTTCAAATAATGTCCCTTAGAACATACATTCCCTATAAAACTACTGGAGCATAATACTTTATACTGTTTAAGAACTAAAAACAGAGAGAAAGAAAGGACTGGAAGAAGAAACAGGCGGACAGAGAGGGAAGGAGGGTGAGAGGTGCGTGCTCTTTAACTTAAAAAACTTGTCCACTTGAAAGTTAGTACAGGAAGAATATAAGAAATTAGCCATACAGTGTATATTAAATTTTTTATAGAGGATGAGATGAGGGCACAAAGTTCAAGTAGCATGAGTTCACACCTGTTTGTGCCTCTGAAGATGACATGGGGTAGACACAAGTAAAATTGAAATAGAAATATTAGTAAGAAAAGTCTCTGTACAACAGTCTAATTTGAACTGGGTCATTGAAGTGTATAGGGTAACAGATAGTTAGGCCAAAATTAAATTGGGTCCTACCATGGATCATTTTGAGAGCTGGTCTGAAGATGCTGATTTTAATGCATGTAAGGAATAACAGCAATAGAGTTGTGCCCGCAATTTTGAAACCATTTCAGGGAGACTAGCTTCCCAGAGAAGAAACGTGGAACTCACTTTGTCTTTGTATAGAATCTTCTCCCATTGCCTGCATGTCCCTTGCATGTGCTTAAGAATAGGAAGCATAATTCCCCTTCAGATTTCAAAGGCCCGTCTGAAGATGCTCAAGTGGTAGTCAAATGGATGGAATAGTGACAGTCCACCAAAACACTAGTGAAGCTCTGAACATGGGGGTAGATGAGGAGTCCTAACACTCATCCTTCTGAAGGTCTATTAGCTACACTCTTCATCTTGAATTAACAATAACTCCAACCTGAGGAGAGCCTTATACATTTTACTCGTAGGGTGACTATTCAGAAGTCTAACATTGTGGCTCCTGTTTGGTGTCCTAAGAACTTCTTCTGAAGTCTTTGCAAAGGAGAACTCTACCAGCTGTGAACACCCAACTGTTCTAACCAGAGGTGGCCCATTAACAAATGACTAAATATTGAAATCAAGCTTTCATAATACATCTTACCCTACCTTTTGATTGTCTAAAGATCTCTTCATTAAGAGGTCTTCCAATTCACTTCTTTGATTAAAACTCTTTAATTTTAAGTTCTTTTTTGTGATGAATTCTTCTAATAATAAAAAGAAAACCTGGTTCTTATAAAACTGTTTTTTATAATTACCAGTAAAGAAAATTGAAAGATATAAAATGTTTTGGCTTGATTTTGTTGCCTCTTCTATGATCACAAAAGAGAATCAGAATGTTTTTCTTTTCTCTAAAAGCCAAAGAGACTTTTGAACCCTTCTTATACTTATGAGTGTGAAAAGTTAATATTCCTTTAAAGTTGTTCTTGCCTCAGTGATCAGAATATTTACCCAGGTTATCAGAATCTACCCAGGTTAATACTAGCTATCTGCACTAATTTCTCTTCCAACTAGACAGTGTTTGTTGTTCATAATCTTTGGCTAACATAGTTAAGCATTTATGGATCCAAGTCAGTCGAAAAGTTCTCCCGAGGTGAGTCATAATTAGTGATGTCACTAATTAGAATAAAGACATGTCATATTGATCAAGTTTCTGCTTTGACACTAAGAATTTTTATATAACAATGGAGAAACCAAACAATTAACATCCATCCCTTTTCCCATATTATAGAGAGGAAACAGTTCAGTTAGGCATTTGACACACCTTTCAAATTAAGTCCTATACCACATTTCTTCCATATCCATAAAAATTAGTTATTAGTTGACTTTAATAGATAGTAGACAGCAGATAAGATCACTACAACAAAGGAAATACAATCCAGGTATTCAAAAAGTGTACAAATGCATGAGGTTAGTGTGTGATTGATTAGATGCAATCAGTATTTTCAGTGTCACTTTCATATAAGAATATATAGAAAAAGGTTGTCGAAGAGGATGGTAAGAATGAGAAGTCTGCCTTAGCTAGCTAGCACCTTCAGTAAGAGCCTTAGCTCTTTGAAGAGGCATACGTACAGACCCTGATGAAAGGAGAATCTTTTGTTTTCCCAGAGGAAGAAAGTAGATAAACTACAGGCAAATGCACTTGACCTTAAGCTTCACTTTAACCATAACTACAACATCTGGGACTTGTGCAATGTAGAATATGAGGCATATATGAGGCCCTGGGTTTGACTCCCAGCCCCATCCCCTCTCCCTGATAGAAGTATTGATCAGTAAATTTCCTCATTTGGAGAGATAATACTAATGATTTCTGGAAGTACAGTATAAGGGACTACAGACCATGTTCCTCAGACAGGAAGCTGGACCAGGCTTTTGAAGTTGGTTCATATATTCAAGTTCAGCATACTCAGATAACCATTGCGAGTAACTCACAATTCCTTTAAGACTTCCAAAGTTATCAGCTGAAACAATGCCAATAACGAACTCAGCCCACCTGTATGTATGAACTAAGGAGAACAGAGACATGAAGTATTTTATTTAATGAGAAGCAGGCAACCTGGAGACTTAAAGCTCACAGGCCCCAAGGGAGGAGCTAATCCACAGCTAGTAAACACTCTCAGGGAGTTGATGGGAGATGGTAATAGTCCCAAATTCTAATGAGAATTTTGGTAATCCTGGTCATTTTGATGTCTTTTTTTTTTTTTTCATTTGAAGTTATAACATGGACTAACACTTTCTTTCTCTCTTTTTTTCCCCCAAATGTGCTAGGAAAGCAAAGATATCCTGTTAGTGGATCTAAACTCTGAAATCGACACCAATCAGAACTCTTTAAGAGAAAACACATTCTTAACAAATGGCCTCACCTCCTGTTCTCTCCCTCGACCAAAGCCTCAGGCATCCTTCTTGCCTGAAAATGCCTTTTCTGCCAATCTCAACTTCTTTCCCACCCCTAATCCTGATCCTTTCCGTGATGATCCTTTTGCACAGCCAGACCAATCGACACCCTCTTCGTTTGATTCTCTCAAATCTCCAGATCAGAAGAAAGAGAATTTGAGTAGCTTGTCTACTCCACTGAGTAATGGGCCCCTGAATGGTGATGCTGATTACTTTGGTCAGCAATTTGACCAGATCTCTAACCGGACGGGCAAACAGGAAGCTCAGGCAGGCCCGTGGCCCTATCCGAGTTCGCAAACCCAGCAAGCAGTGAGAACTCAAAATGGGGTATCTGAAAGAGAACAGAACGGCTTCCATATCAAATCTTCCCCGAACCCTTTTGTGGGAAACTCTCCCAAAGGACTATTGGTACCGAATGGCGTCAAGCAGGACTTGGAAAGCTCTGTCCAGTCCTCAGCACATGACTCCATAGCCATTATCCCACCTCCTCAAAATACCAAACAAGGAAGAAGAAGGACTGCTAAGGTGAATTGTCTCCTCCACATATCCATTAGCAGAGTGCATGCTCGGTACCAGAGGGTGGTGTGACGCAAGCTCTCTTCCCTGCTGCTCTTTTAGTTTCCCGTGTGGCTGTGACATAGAAGGTGGGATAAGCCACATCAGTTCTCCAGGAATACCGCCCCTCTAGTCGCCATTCTTTCTAAGCTTCCCAGCAGTGTTTTCACACCCTGCTTTCCCTTTGCATGTCTTATCACTAAATACTAAACTAAACACAAGTTTTTTCCATTTTTAATGCTGCTATGCTTCTGTATCTCTGGTAAGTCTGATTGTCGTGTTCTGGGATGGGAGGGCAAGATTTCTTGTGATTCCCTTGGTCCTGTCCCCACACTAACACACCTCCTGCACACCCACATCGTTTATGTCCGTGGTGGTGGTAGAAAATTCTTAAGTCTGTCTCCTCTTTTAAACTTAAATGTTGATTTAATAACCCATTGTCTTAGGAGAAACTTATGTATTTACTATTACCCTTACTATTACCAACTTCATTCAAAAGCAACTCCAAGTGCAATTTTTATAGGTATTTTTAAAGCTCTCATAGGAATATGTAGATTTGCGTGATGATGGAGCTGGTATCCTCTCCACCTAGACTGATGTAGAGCCAGTGGAATGAAAAAATTGTGTAGAACAATCATTGGCAGCTGTCCTTTCTTCCTCAGCTTCAAGTTTTAGCCAACAAGGAGACCAGACTAATACAAACGGATAAATCAGCAAAATAAATTAACTTTGCAAGTCAAAAACCAAAGGCCAGCTCTACTAGTCCACCATTGCAGCCATCGATGTCTTTTATTACCTCATACCCCACTTTTGGTTATTTATTTATTTATTGTAGAAGTAATTGTTTATCAGTAATAGCAAATGGTTTTCCTTTTCATGGATGTCAGCTTTGGGGGTAAAGACTAGGAGAAAGGTCCAAACCGTTTCTGAGTAACTCTTCTTCCTCCCTCCGTGTTCTGTCAGCCTTCAACAAGTGATTTGCTTGCATCCGACAACTTTGGTCCTCCTGTCTCAGACCCTCCAAGCCAGACATCACCCACAGGACAACCTGCAGCCCTACAAACCAACCCTCTGGATCTCTTCAAAACAGGTGCTCCTTCCCCAGTGGGGCCCCTTGCAGGTCTAGGTAGGTACCTAGAGTTGGAGTTAGATATGCCTCTGCTACTGTCACTCATAAAATGATGACACATAAGAGAAAGGCACTTCCTGTCCTGATGGGTATAAGATGAGAGATTCCAGGTAGCCTTTCTCTCGCTTTTCCCCTATGCAATTCATATGCTCCTGATACTCCTGCTTTGTAACTGAAATTTATCTCTTGACCTGCCATGTAACAAGGAGTCCATTTCCACTATTGCATACCCCTAAACAGCTGGCATTGGCTTTCAAAAGCAACTCCAAGTACAATTTTTATCAGTATTTTTAAAAATAATTTATTGAGAATTTCATATAGGCATATAAGCATATAAGGTGTTTTGATCAAAGCCATGCCCACTCCCTCCCCTCCGACTCCTCCCATATCTCCCCATTACTTTTGCTGATAACTACAGGTACTCTTATTCATTTTTTTTTATGGGTCTTTTGGCTATTCTAACATTGCTCCCTTTGAAGAGGTAACCCTAAAATCTTTTAAGGATTAGATAAAAGCTCTTTTGACATTTTTGGCCTTTGGAACGGAGTATGTTGCTAAGAGGCCCAAGGACACTTTGGCTTTTAGCCAAGAAACTGGCTACTTTTCTTTGGGGTCTTTTTACACTAACTGCCTAGACAATTCCTACCTCCTGTTCTTATCACACCATCCTCCAAAGAGGTTACCCAGCTTGCACATAGGGAATCAGGACGCAGACCACTCTGGCTTCTTCCATAGCTTCTGAACAGGGACGCAGGGGGAGGCAACTGGAGTACCCCTTCAGTGGTCTATCTAAAAGACTCCCAAATTGTATAACTCTTGTCTCTACCAGGAAAAGAAAATCCTTGAATCATGAATAGGAGATGTGAAGGAGAAGTAAAGGCAAGAGTTATTAGCATTACAAGTTCTACACAGGGAACTAGAAAAAAAGTCAGAACAGGGCAAATTTCAAATGTGCATATGAGAGTCCATTGGAATTTCTTGAGGAGAGCTTCCAGAAGCATCCCCCTCTGTTGGGTTACTCATTTTTCTTTCGTCTGCCAAAGCTGGGGCTCGAGAGTGATTTGCTTTCAGGCATTTTGATAGCTGTTGGGGTGGTTAGAAGCAGTGTCAGTTCCCTCTCAAAGGTTTCTAGATGGGGGAGAAAACAAATTTGGCCATCATTTTAGAACAATAGCTGGTTGTCTCCTTTAGCTACAGGGGGGCACTGCAGTATTGAAGACCAAGATTTGAAGTCTTACCTCTGAGCAGCACTTTCTGATTCAGAACAAAATCATCAATGAGAAATAATTGTCTAAATAACTTTTTATATGGACTTATGCCTAATGTCTGAGAAGTGTAATCCCTTGAACTCTTAAAGAAATATACTAATGACTTTACTCTTTGGTTATACTTTCCTTTTGGGTGTTTCCTTAGGGTGTTTTAGCTTCCTTAAACAGTTGGCCCAAATTAATCAATTTATATTTACACTTAAGGTTGTTTGAGGATCTGTTCCTCAGGGGTCACATGGGCTTGGGAGCAGCCCCTGGCTCCTTTCTTTTACAGGTTCCATCTATGTGAAGATAAGTCAAAGGTCCTGCTTTTATTGCTATTTTTAAAGTAAGGGATTCTGAAGTCAGATTGGCTTCAATGGTGAAAAGGAGATGAGATGAGAGATCCTTGTGTGTTGTCTGTGCTGTAAAAGTAGAAGGAAGCATGTATTCCTCCCATGCCATTTGGCATAATAGATGAAGAGCTAACCCCCACCCCCCCAAAAAACTTAGATTCCTCTCTAAAGCATTATGCACACCAAGAAGGGTGCAGGCTCAGTCTTCAAGCAGGGCTAGATCATAGAGTGAAAGTCTGAGTTCTGGACCCAGCTCTGTCCCTAAGTGTAAGTAAGCAGAGAACAGACATGCATCCTGATCTAGTTTTAAATACTTGTACCTTAACAGTTCCTTATGAAAATTTTACTAGCAGGGCATCTTGCTAGAGACAGAAAATAAGGATGAGAAAATGGAAGCTAATAGGAGCATAGAACTTTGGAAAGACATGGAGTGTTATCAGAAACTGGCATATGCTGGTGTTAAAATGTATTCCTGGCTTGTAGGGGTCACTGGGTCTCTGCTGCAGGATGGAGGTGAAGGATCATTGACAGAAGGCTGGTCCTGCTGCCCTCCACCCACAGCCTCTAGTTCTTTTCAGGAACTCTGACAACAGTCTTTGCTGTCCTGTTGGGGGCCCCTCTGTTTGCTTGCTTCTTGGCACCTCTACAAACTCCAAATAGAATCTGGCTTGGGAGGCAGGGGACTGTATATGAAGAGGACTCTTCTCCCTCTTCAGTAAAATTTGAAAGGGGGTCCTAGCATTTCTGCCTCCTTCAGCATCAGTCACCAAGTATCTTTTTTCTTTATTTCTTTGTTTTCTTTGCCATTTTCCTGTAAAAAAACAAACAAACAAACAAAAAACCTATTTCATTTCTGCCACAATAAGTCTATCTGATCCTATGTGATATAGGTGATATAGGGGGTAAGAAAGGAGGTGGTACCTACTGCTGAGTGGCTGAAATTCAGGTGAATGTGAGAAGCCAATGTGTTCCAGTTCTGTGTTGAGCATTTATAACACCAAGAGACTCTCCCTAAATACTTCGTGCCTCTTGGGGGGGGGGGGGCGCTCCTTTTCTGCATCACTCTTTTTTTCTGTACCCCCAGTGAAGCAGGTTGGTGTCTTTCCTTCATTGTGAGGCAGAAAACTTGCATGCAGGGCCTGTGACTAGATCATATCCCAGAGCTTTGTAGTCTAATATCAATGCCCTGAAGAATTTTTACAGCCAATATTTAACAAGTCAGCCTGAAAATACAGCTGGACCCTATAACTGTTAATTTATTCAGACGAAGTAAAGCTTTTTGGCAAGGTGCCCCTGCTGAGGCCTTGGGGTATACAACTGCAGAATACTGATGATTCTTCCAAGTTTGGACATGGAACTCAAACTGAGCCCCACAGTGTAGCTCCTGTCCACTGGCAGTGATCCTCAGCCAAACCATGGAAGGTTGTAGGTCTGGCTTCCGCTAGACCCAGCTGGGGGACTGTCTCCTGGAGATCTGGGGGGGTGGGGAGAGGGCATTACAGAAAGCTGTGCCCTCAGCTTTGACTTGTACCCTGTGTTTTGATCTAGCTTCAGAAGGTAGTAAAATCAATGCTATATGCCCACACTCCCTTTTTCCTTAGTCCTTGTACCTACTTTCTCCAGATGGGCCATAAATGTCTTAGAAACATAATGGGTAGAGTCTGGTAAATGGGAATGAAGGTTGGCATAAATGCTGACTTGGAAATCCCTTCATTCCTGGCAAATATAATGTTTTTCTCTTTTACAAATACCATTTCCACTAATACAATCTGTGGCTAAAGCTATGTATTTTTCTAAGGAAAGGCAAGTAGTTCAAGATGAAAGATGATAAAATTCAGCTTTCATTCTTTGCACATCTAATTGGTTGAAATTATTAGTAAATGACCATCCCTTCAGTTCATAACACTAATTTATTCTGAAACACTGTCAATATTTTTGTTTAAACTAAACCTACTTTTAGAGACTATATTAGAAAAATCTAAGCAAACTCATCCCTTGTTTTGTTACAAGTGTATTCTTTAATTCAAATGAATCCTATTTTCTGAGTCTGTGAAATTAGTATTTGGATTAACTTGCCTTGACAAAATGAATAGCCTTGTTTCTTATGTCTATATTTTGTTGCAAAGAAGACAGAATGGGAGGATAATGTCCTGGGTCAGAGCCAAGGTCCTTGAATTTGTCTCTATGGACACAAACTGTAACCTTCCTGACTTGATTATGTTCTTGACTTAGTTCCCTTCCTGAGAAACAGGCATGTTGATCAAGTAAGATGGCCATTCTGTGGGAATGGAGCAAATGTGTTCCTGGCCAGTGATCAGCATTCCTGATAATGAAACACTCAAATTAAGAGATTCAAGAGAGAAGATCTGTCTATATCTGCCTCTAAACCTCATTTCAAAGTTCTTCTCATTCTGGAAGAAAAACAAAACAAAACAATCCTTCTAACCCAAATTTGAATGCCTTTTCTTGCTGGAATTAAAAAATGCATGCTTAATGCTGTTTTCCAAACCTCAAAGCAAGTAGGTTTCAAGAGCAGAATACCAGCACCGTCCATGACTGAATGTGAGGCTGAATTTAGTGGGTGTTTTGGTTTTGGTTTTGGTTAGTGGTAACAATTTTACTGATTCATCAATGCACTTTGAAGAGGTAGCAAAGAAAATGTCCTATGTATTAGAACAAGATGCAGGGGATGAACAGAGGTTGGAGAGGCCTGGATTTCGTGAGGTAACTAAGTTCTGAAGACCCTGGCAAGGAGGCAGGCCATGGAGATCATATTCTCTGAATGGTTCGTTATGCGGGAAGGGATTCTGTTTTCTGTTGCCTTATCTCCTCCCTTTCTCTTAGAAATACTCTGCCCTAATTTCTGGCAAACTTTAGTGAGTGACACATGGCAGGAAGCACTTTTATTTGAAGCAGCCCTCCCGGGATAACAGACTTTCCTCCACTTTTGTATGTAAAAGTCTAAAATAATCTTGGCCTCAGCTAAATTTTATCTTTCCTTTATATAGCTGTGTCAACTTTGGCAGGATTAAAAAGCAAGGAAACTTCGAAACGGGAGGGAAGCATGTCGAGGCTTTATGTACATCCGTGATGGCTGGCTTCCATAAGTCCCCAGCAGGAGCCAGCTGCCAAATGCAAAGAATAAATAATGGCTCAGTGCAGTGGATTACCTTAATCAATCACTTTATAGTCATTGTGGTTTGGGTATATAAATTTGTCCAGTAGACAAATCAGTTCCTGCTATTGGCAGGCTCTTTTTTTAGGATAGTTGAGGTACATCAATATATGTAAGATAAGCATTCATTTATTCATCATTAGGATGTATAGATTTTATTACCCTTCTAATGAGGGAAGTCAAAAAAAAGTGTGGTAGAAAGAGTATGAAACAAGTATTTGAATGCTAGGTATTTTGTGTTAATGAGTTAACCCTCAGAATGATTTAATCTCTCAGAGCATTATTTCTGTATGAGCTTCAAAGTTTTCCTTAACCCAGCACTTGAAGGCAGAGGCAGGCTGATCTCTGAGAGATCAAGGCCAGCATGGTCAACATAGGGAGTTCCAGGTTGGCTGGGGCTACAGGGACACCCTGTCTCAAAACAAACAAACAAACAAACAAACAAACAAAAAGCCTCCACAAAGATCTTTGTTCTTTTGATATTCTGTAAATACCCTCCCCCCAAAAAATTCATGCTTTTTGAAATTCAGGTGTCTGTTTCAAAGGGATGAATATAGCCAAGTATATGCATACTTGAAAAATGTCACAAATAAACCAATTATTTTACACAATTAGTATATGCTAATAAAAAGTAATCTTCTTCAAGCTTGCCTCCTAATAAACACTTTCTCCCTTTTCCTTCAGGTGGTATTCCAGTCACAGTCACACCTCCTCAGGCAGGACCTTGGACATCTGTTGTCTTCAGTCCACCTACTTCCATAGTCCCCGGAGCCATGATAGGTGGTCAACCTTCAGGTTTTGGCCAACCAATCGTTTTTGGTACAAGCCCATCTGTTCAAGGTTGGAATCAGCCTTCATCCTTTGCAGCTTCAACTCCCCCTCCAGCCCCGGTGGTTTGGGGTTCTGCTGCACCCGTGGCACCTAATGCTTGGTCAACCACAAGCCCTTTGGGGAATCCGTTTCAAAGCAATATTTTTCCACCTCCTGCCATGTCTACTCAGTCCTCTCCTATGCTATCCTCTGTTCTGACGACTCCTCCTCAGCCACCTCCCAGAAATAGCCCTCCAAAGGAAATCCCCAGTGATGCCTTCACTGCCTTAGACCCACTTGGGGATAAAGAAGTCAAGGAAGTGAAAGAAATGTTTAAGGACTTTCAACTTAAGCAGCCTCCCATTGTGCCCTCAAGGAAGGGAGAGCCACCTCCTGTTGGGACTTCAAGCGCCTTTTCCAGTTATTTCAACAGTAAGGTTGGCATTCCTCAGGAGCATGTGGACCATGATGATTTTGATGCCAATCAACTGTTGAACAAGATCAATGGTAAGCTACTCATTTCTCTGCATATTATACCACAAATATTTCCACTATCATGTAGTTCCATGGGGGTCTTCAAAAGAGCCATGTCTGCCCACCAATGGTCTTGCTATTGCCTCTTTTGGTAGTCAAGGTTCTGGAGGTGATTGTAACCATTTACCTCTTAAAGGCCGCTTAACTCAGCCAATTCGAAGGGCTGGCCCAATACTGCCCTCTGGTGACATTTCTTGAAAGGGCCTCCAAGAGCTATTGAAATGGGATGGATTGTGTGTGGCATTTGGAGAACTGAATGATAAAACCTTGCCCATGTTCCATGACTACAAACAGGAGAATTCTGAATGTCTTCCACTTCCAGTAAAATATATGTGGCTTTATGTTCTGCGATGAGTGGATAGAGTTCTGGTATATGTGCTGATTTTTATTTCACTAGTGTAACTATCAAAGGTGAAGAATTAAATTTCAAAGATTAGTTGACCTGGGAACATATGTTCTGTATGAAGAAAACTTGTCTACTAACTGCTTGGGGTTCTTTGCCTTCTAGAACCACCAAAGCCAGCTCCCAGACAAGGTGCCTTGTCAGTTTCCAAGTCTACCGACAATGTACTCGAGAACCCATTCTCTAAAGGATGCTTCAGTTCATCACAGCCCTCTGTAAGTACCAGCTCCTAGCTGTTGTTCTAAAACGCATGCCACATAGAGCCACTACCTTCTAAATTCACCTTACCTGTGCAGCAACTCTTTGATGAGAAAGCCTGCTTGACTAAGATCTATTCTTAGGAATCTTCAACGTAGACATACAGTTGCACTGGGGTAATATTATTTTTCATGGGAACCACCATCTCCTGAACTTGAGAAATAATAATATATAAAAAGTTTCTTCATAGTTCACTTAATTTGGCTTTTGATAGCATTTTGGGAAAACTGAACCAAAATACTCTCTTAGAAAACCTTTAAGAACTGAAATTCTTCTATATCTCATAAAAGTAATACTTCCCACTTAGGAGAGGCAAATGCAACTTGCCTCAGCCTTGACTTTGAGCAAATAATACATACCAGTATCTCCAAGCAAATAGGCATAGATTATTACATACTTAATTGTTTGATTGGTTTATGACTTAAGTGATTTCTAAAGGAAACTGAGGTCCAGTTATAAGGATTTTTTTCTTATGGCTGTAATTGTATTTGCTGACTCGTGTTTTATCTCATCAGGTGATTTCTCCTCAGCCTGCATCTTCTGATGTATATAGGAGTCCTTTTGGAAATCCTTTCGCCTAACCTTTTGTAAGTAGAAGAACCTTCTAAGCACTATCTTTCAGTGGAAGGATGGTATGAAATTTCTATCTTATGCTTTTGATATTTCAATTCTACATGGAAGTAAAATTCATTCAATGTAACATATATTTTGAACTTTCTAGACTTTTGATTTGTTTTTTGTTTTGTTTTGTTTTGTTTTTGTGGTAAGGTCTCAAGTAGCCCAGGTTGGCCTCCAACTCTCTCTGTATCTAAGAATGACCTTGAACTTCTGATCCTCCTGTCTCTACCTCCTGAGTGCTGGGATTATAGAGACACATGCCACTACACCCAGCTGTATGTGGTGCTGGGGATCAAACCTGGGACTTCATGTACTCTACGCAAGCACTCTACCTCTTCTGTTCATATCAAAGGAAAAACATTTTATTAATAACTTGGCTCCCTGTAAAATGTTCAAGTTCTGAAACCACCAAATAAGTCAGATAAACAGATGAAGCACACTTCTACCATCTGTCTCTTTGAGAGTGATCTCAAGCTGGTCTGTGATGGTGTGATGCTTTAATTCTATCACCAATGACTGTTGTAAATGTCTCCTTCAGAATAGTGCAAGGTGAAATCAAGTCAGAATTCTGACTCTTCTGTCTCTAGTGGACTTTATTCTAGAATAGCTCTTAGGTGGAGCCTCCTTAAGCTGAATCTCTGCCAGGATCCCATGTAATCTGTTCTTTTTAGCAGTGAATGGTACCACATGTGAAGTGGGGAGAGGACAGGGCATATCTCCATTAGAAAAAGCACAGCTGGTAGGAGTAGAGCAAAAAAAATGAATGAAATTAATCCAAGTCATTGTTTTCAATCTTGTCTCATCATCCAAAGAGATCCAATAAACTATGTATTGATGTTTCTATAACAAAATCATTTTGAATAGATAAATGTCTTGCAAGTGGTATCAACAATAAGACATAATCTCCTTTATTTATGGAGGATGCATTCCAAAATTCCAAAGGATCCTGAAACCATGAATGGTAAATAGAACCAAACTTTTATATATATATATATACATAAATGCCTATGATAATTTAATTGATAAAATTAGGCACAGAGATTAACAATAAAAAAATCAATAACAACAACCTGTAAAATTAATCGATTAGATGGCATATAGTAAGTTGTCTCATTGCTGCAACAAAAGACCTGGCAAAAAACTGCCTAAGAAAGGAAGGGCTTATTTTGGCTCACAGCTGGAGGGTGCAGTCCACCATTATGGGGAAATTATGGTGGCAGGAGCTTGTCTCCTTGTGTCTTCAGTCAGAAAACAGAGAATGATGAATTCTAGTGCCCAGATTGCTTTCTGCCTTTTATTCAGTTAAGGACCCCAGCCCAGGGAATGGTGCCGCCCATATTTAGGATGGGTCTTCCCACCTCAATTAACCTAAACTAGATAATCCCTTAGAGACATACCCAAAGATTTGTAAATTTTTTCTTTCTTCTTTGAAAACTCCACATGCATATGATATATCTTGATCATATCCATACCCCAACATTCTCCTCCCAGTGGACACCACCCCCCAGCATGTTCCCTACTCTCTTTTATATCTTTACATCTCTCCATGTTCATAATGATTCTAGATCCTGTCAAGTTAATAATCAATATTAACCACCACAGATAGGGAGAACTACTATAAAAGAAAATAGCTAGTCTCAGGGTGGGAGAGATGGCTCAGTGGTTAAGAGCACTTGACTGCTCTTGCAAGGACCCGGGCTTGATTCCTAGCATCCACATAGTGGCTAACAAGTGCTCATAACTCCAGTTCCAGGGGATCCAACACCCTCTTCTGCCCTCCACAGGCATTGCACAGGATGGCTGCACTGACACACATGCAGGCAATATACTCCCACACATAAAATAAAAATAATAAAATTTTAAAAAAGAAAAGAAAAAGAAGATAGCTAATCTTATTTATTACATGTTCTATACTAGGAGACAGAGCCTCACTCTGAAGCTCAGCCTGACCTTGATTTTGCGGTGTAGCCTAGGCCAGTGTTGAACTCAATAATCCTCTTGCCTTAATCCCCTGAGTGCTGAGATCAGAAGCATGCACTTGATTTATATTATTTTGTTCAATCTTCACATTATCTCTAGGATATACTATTACTGACATTTTAAAATTTTATTTATTTATGCTAATGTACATGTTACCTGCATGTGTTTTATATGAACCATATGCATGCAGGTGCCTATGGAGGCCAAAGGGCATCAGATCCTCTGGAACTAGAGTTGCAGAAAGTTGTGAGCCATATGATATGGTTGCTGGGAACGAAACCCAGGTCCTCTACAAGAGCAGTAAGTGCTCTCAACCACTAAGCCATCCCTCCAGCCCTTATTACTGACATTTTAAATCATGTCTTGATATGTAATACATTGATATTCAACCCAAATATTCTAACCACAGGTTTTTGTGTTTTGTTTTGTTTTGTTTTTTTCCTCCATATTTCTCTAGGAACTTGCAATGCTGACGATCCATAGGAACAAAAAGACTGACCTTAGTCTTTAAGGACAAACTAATAGCCAGAGACGTGATGACTTCTGTCCTTGTTCCAGCTTTGACATATTATCTCTTGCCTTATTTCTTGTTGCCTCTTCCACTTGTAAAATGCCTTTCATTTTCTCTCTAGGCTAAACCTAATCTGAATCTATGGCTTCACATAAATTAAGATCCTAAGCTCTCTAGCAAAAATGTAAATGAAGTAGCAATCCTACTGAATCCTTGCCTATTGTATCCCTAGAACCTTCCAGAATATTCTCCTTTCTACCCTCCAGTTGGGAGGTACAGGTATCTTAACCCCTCATATCATACTGCTTTGAGTAGATGTCCGAATCCTTACAGCTCAAAATCATTTGGGATTCCTGGTGTATAGCATGAAACCTAAAGACTGTTATTAATACAGCAGGGCACCTTTTGTAAAGATACCTTGCTTCAGACCATCACTTGGAAAGAATTTTTGAAATAAATTTGAAGCAACGCTAACTTCTTCTTAGACAGTTTGGAACCTAATCCACCTGAAGACCTTTTGAAGATGATAGGTTCTCCACTAATTGGATCATTTACCAATCTTACCTCAGAGATGCTTACAGTTAGCTTGAAAAGGAGAAAATTCTAACTCAAAAATGGGGTATTATGCAAAGATACTAAATCAATAAATGTATCTTGGAGGGCACAAAGAAATTGTTTTCATTCCTACGTTTAGCAGATATTAGACCCTTGTGACCTTGTGGCCTGAATTTTCTTATATGCTCCTAATGTCATTTCATGTAATTTTTTATCAATAAAGATGATTTTATGTGCATAACTACAATAAAAATACATAGGTATTTCCCCCTCTGTTGCTCAAGACCAAGACTGCCCCTTCTCATCTCCTGCTGGCTACCACAGAGGAGGGAAAGTGTTCTTCTCTCCTTGCCTTTCCTCCATTCTCTGTTCAGTCCATTTTGCTCCTGGGTCCCTATAACAAGGAATAGATATTCATGGGACAAAAAGCACTGAATGACTCACTGATCTGGAGACCCTCTTCCTTCTCAGTAATTGCTAGTCCAGTAACTAGACTTGGGAAGTGGGCACAACCTTCATCCTCACTACGGACAGGAGGGCTATCCTCCTGAGCTGAAGGTCCAGAAGAGCTATGAACTTGGAAGAGGACTTGGACTCAGTTCAACAATGAAGAAGGACCATATTCTGAAAGCTCTATGTGACTGTGCCAAATATCCTGGGTCTTTACTAGGCCTTTATTAAGTAACTGGAAACTTTCTTGAAGCCACAATCAGTTATCAGAAAATAAATAGGAGGAGAAAAAGATGATAGACAAGTATTTGGGATTATCATTAAAAATCTAATGTCTACAATATTTTCCTCATAACCTTGGAAGCTTTCCAAGCTCATTTTCAGACCTGTTATGTGCATAGGTCTGAAGCATTTGTTCTTGCCAAAATGAGTTTGTTTAGTTTATGTTGGGTTTTTTAATGTTATCCCTTGACCCTTGATGCTCAGGTTCTTGCGGGTGTTAATCAACCACATATAATCTTACCTTTAAGTGGAAGAAGAGGATGATTGCTCAGGATTTAAACAAGAAGGTGGCCTTGTGAGCCTCTATTGATTAGCCCCAAGTAGTCCAAGCTGAAGTCCTGTGGGTTTGTGTTTAATGCTAATCGTTGATTATCTATGGCGTATTTTTTGTCTGTCTGTCTTCCAACTCAGTCATTATAAACACAGACTTGAAATAGTACTTTAAAAGTCCAAATACCTAAAAATGTGCTAAACTGGAGGCAACTCTTTCTAGATAGCTGAATTTTTTAAAGTGATCAGCCACACAACTCTTTTTGTATGTACTTGTTTTCTTGTGCACTTTTCTGTATGCAAACAGTTATAAATTTACTCGTTTCAATAAACTGGAATGGCAAAAATCTCATGTTATCATTAGTTTATTTTAATAACTGGCCTCTTCTTCGGGTTGGCTCTTGTTAAGGTATAAACATAGTATAAGGTGAGCAAGTGCTACTTACAATACATTTGGGATTGTGGCGGAGATAAGGAAAAGGGGAAATCCATGAAGTAGGACCATAAAAAAATTGTCATTCAGTCTCTTTCAGTGTCTTACTCTCTCAAATCCACTCACATTCCCTCTTTGGGAATTTAATGGAGTTTCTATAGAGCTGCTCCAGACCATGTCAGATGATGTTCATGAAGCAGTGTGGGTCTGTACTATTACAGAATGTTTGGTACTACTATCTTCCTTTCCCTTAACTCAAACAGTTGGCGTTTTTCTAGCAACAGTGAGTGTAGAGAAATAGGAGAGCTGTAAGTAAGCCACAGATGAGGTGTGCTGAAGGCTGCTGATAAGAGCTTGTTGCACAGATCATCTGGTTTATCTTGGTGTTGTGCACTGTGTAAGCCTGCGTACTCTTTGCATGTGGCTCAGTCTGAGAGCAGATGCTGGAGATTAACCATTGTTCATGTACAGGGGACATTCATTTTGCTGCAGTCAGAATTTCTGTTGGACAAACAGGGTGGGGGTGTTCACTGAAATAACCCTGAAAACTGGGAACAAATCCATATAATCTCTTTGATAGTGATGGTATTCAGATCTGTGTGCTAAAATTTCAACGTTTCATGGGACCTTTATCCTGGAAAGAGTTTCACTTAGGCATCAGATATATCTAAGCTAAAAGCTTGAATGTTAACAGTCAGCAAGGCCTCAGATTCAACACAAAAGGACAAAGCATGGATGTTCTCAAAACTTTGTATTTGTCAAATGCTTTACTAGTTATGATATCATCGCATTGATATCTAATCCTATGAAGTGGATCTGTTACTGTAACATCTCATGGTAAATTTGCATCCAGGCTTTTAAAATGGCCACAGTTGCTCTAGCCACTTAGTGAATTTTTCTCAAGGGTATTCTGTGGCAAAACTGTTGTCGTAGGGAATCTTCTCTCAGAGATTTCAGTCTCCTCCATCAAACCAAATAGAGGGTGGTGCTGCATGTTTCCTGTGCTGAAAGCAGGGAAGGAAAGAACGGGATACAGCTGACTCAGGAGTTTAGGTGACCCTGGAAATACCTGGTAAGTGAGGACTCTGACTACATGCTTGAAACAGGTTCAACATAAAAGTCTTCCCCTGAAAGACGGGAGTTGCCCAAAAGTTCCTGGTAAATATTTAAGGATTGCCCAACAGCAAAGTGCCTAATACTTGCCGGGAAATGGCATGTTTTTAACTAATTTCCTTCAGCTAAAAATAACTAAAACTCATGTTCTAAGTTTACCTGCCACACATGGATATGAACAAAGCTATATCCTAGTAGCAAGTCTGTTGACAAGTCTTAATTACAGTAATGCTGATGGACCAGGGCCAGCCACTTGTCATCTTGCCTCACAAGGTCCCCAGCCCCTGCTTGTCGTCCTTGCTGGAGTTATGTACCTAATTACAAGCTTCTGCCTTAAACTGAAATCATGCAAATATTTGTCTCCAGGGAGAACACAATAGGATCTTCTCAGGGACCAAAGATGGTTGTTATAGCTAAAAAAAAAACTGAAAAGAAGCCCAGCTTAACTCTGAACATCTTGTCTTCATAACTGTGTTTTCCTTGCAGTGTTGGTTGTGCAGTTTTCTACCAATTGTTTTCCAGTCATTGATCTTTATAATGGTCAACTTTGTCATTATCTTATCTTCACCATTATTTTAAATTTCATTTATTTTAAAGCGGAATCGATGCTTCTCTAAAGGTGACACAACTGGGCTGGAGCAAAGTCACAGATATTTTTGGAATATGTCTCCTCTAAGCATTTCCTTATGATGACTGAACATCACAGAAACTTTTGTTGAGAGTAAGGAGAGATTATTGGATATAGGAATTTACAGAGGGGAAAGGAAAAGAATTGAAAGGGTTGACATGACATTAATCTCCTGCTTCAGATCGCTACAGATCAAACATTACTTTGCAAGGGAAAAACTTACTACATACTACACAAGGTAGGACAACTGGGGCAGTAGTGATGAAACAAAGGATTTAAGTGGAATCCTTAAGGTGCCCATGAGTTGAGGATATAGGGAAATATCTAATAGGGCAGAGTCCCAGGGAGTTAAGGTATGAGCACACAGCAGGGGAAGTAAGCCTCCCCTGAAATGATTTTTAATTATTTCATTTTATATGTGTGAGTGTATATATGTATATGGCACACATGTAGAAATCAGAGGACAACTTATAGGGCTCAATTCTTTCCTTCCACCCTGTGGGTTCTGAGGATCAAACTCAGGTCATCAGGCTTGGCAGCAGCTGCCCTTACCCAATAACCATCTCACAGCCCAGGCCTCTGAGATTTCATTGAGATGCAAGGAAGCTGACCCAGGAGGGCTGCACAAGAGCTTCTGAGCCTCCTGATGGAACAGCATGTTAGCGAGCCACTAAGAAAGATGGGAGAATGAATGTGGCCAAAGGTGAAAGAAAAGACAGGGAGGTAGAAATGGGCATTCAGCTAGACTGGGTAATGTGGGGGAAAGCTCTACTAGGAGGAATGACCCAACTTTCCCATCTACAGACATGGGAACAAGGGAAGGAAGAGGTGTGAATAATCTGAGCTCCATTCATAAGTGAGAAGTGAGTAGAGAATCCAGACCTAGCATGAAAGAAGGTTAACAGAAAGGTGTTATCTCAAGAAAAATGGAGAAATGAAAGAGGTGGATATTTCAGTAAAGGGCATATTGAGGGTGCGAGCAGGAAGAACCTGGAAGAATTAAAAATTGTGTCAGAGAGCAGAGAATTTGTACATCCCAAAGAAAGTCACGGGACTGGAGAGATGGCTCAGCAGTTAAGAGCACTGACTGCTCCTGCACAGAACCCAGGTTTGGTTCCCAGCACTCACATGGCAGGTGACAACCATACATAATTTAGGTTCCAGGGGATCCAACACGCTCTTCTGACCTCCGTGGACATTGCATTCATGTGGTGTACTTTCTTTCATACATGCAGGCAAAACATTCACACATTAAAAAAAATAATTCCTCTAAAGAAAGTCACTTGGGGTGTTGGCATGGTGATGGGTACGGCAATGGACTGAATGGAATTAAGATGGATGTTGCTAGAGCTGAAGAAGAATGGGCAAGCTGGTACCCTCAAGGAGACCAAAATGATGAGCATAAGGCTTGGATTAGAACAGGAGAGAAATAAGTAGTCAAGAGTGTTGGTTTGCAGAAGAGTAGGGGGTGGCATAAGCAGACACTAGGAACTTGAAAAGACATGGGGATAATATTGTCTTCTCTTATGATCAAATACACCCAGTTGTTCCGTGCAGCTGTAGACAGATCTGAGTCACAAGAAACCTTATTACTATAAAGGAATAGCACAGAAGGCACACCTAAAACTTGAAATTGATGGTTGTCCAAGCTCTCCCCATTCGGTGATTCAGATTACCTTCCCAAAGGGCATGTGCAGCAAGCCAAAGCACTAAGGTTTCACTGTGGCATTGCCAAGACCTGCAGGTCTCTGGGGATTGGGGGCAAGGAAGCTACAGAATGGACCACGAACTCCCAACCAGAGCTCTCTAGCACTCAAGACTGTATGATTGCTAAGAAAAGAGTTTAAATCTGGCCCATCCCTTTTAAAGGGACAAATGGAAATGACCTGAACACCTTTTTATCACATCAACTCTGACCCTGCTGGTCAGAGTTCTAATGCATGATCTTATGTCTCTGCTATTAAAAACAGGGGTTATTGTTACACAGAAGTAAAATTCACACAGAGTTCCTAAGGAAATGTAAATAAAGAAGAAAACTTTAGAAAAGGAAAGCCCCTGATTGGTGAAAAACCATGAGGCTCTCTGCAGGGTTTGGAATCCTGGAATGGAAGCTCGGAGCTAGTTTGGAGTAAATCCCACCTCTGTCACCTTTAGGTACATTCCTCTATGCCTAGACCAAGCTAACCTGTTCTAGAGAAAAAGGATTGAAGACAAGCTTTACAGCACAGAACTCTATAAATTGAGTGAGATGAGTAAAATATTAACAACAGTACTAATATTATGGTGGAAAAAGTCTGAGTTATGGGACCAAATAAGTCTAAATTTTAGTGACTCACCCCTGAATGACGTTGGACAGATAACATCACCTCAGCATGACTCCATTTCCTCAGCTCTGTGATGGGGCCATTTAGAAAATTAGATTAGATTAGATAGATAGATAGATAGATGATAGATAGATAGATAGATAGATAGATAGATAGATAGATAGATAGATGATAGATAGATGATAGATGATTGATAGATGATATAGATAGATATAGATACAGATACAGATATAGAGACAGATTAGCAAGCTGGCATATTATAAAGTTTCCATTTTTTCATTTTCATCTTTGGGTACTATTTATGTGTTATACAAATAAAAAAACTTTTGGGTTTGTTTGATTTTTTTGCTTCTCAAATTTAGTTCATCCTAATCTTTCCTTTCTCTGAGATATGTACACAAAGCAAAAGCCTCATTTCAAAACATGTCAGATACATGATAGCTGTTAAGAGCAAGGAGGAGCTGAAGGTACTATAAATATAAAAATCAGGACTGGAGAGATAGCTCAGTGGTTAAGAGCACTGGCTGCTCTAGCAGAAGACCCAGGTTCAATTCCCAGCACCCACATGGCAGCCAACAACTGTCCGTAACTCCAATTCCAGAGGTCTGATGCGTTCTTTTAACTTCCATAGGCACTGCACAACACGGGTGCACTCATACACATAGAATAAAAATAATAAAATATTTTTTAAACAGTAAAAATCGTGTTAAACTATATGGTATATTAATTAGCTAGCATATATTATCAAAAACCATCTTATTGTTGTACTTTAATATTTCTATTATCTTACTATACTATATTTAGCATGGTAATAAAATAAATAAATGAGTAATTCGGCATATCTTCCCACTCAAACTAATCAACCAAGCAACCAAGATGTCCTCCTTCCCATCTCTCCTCCAGGGAGATAGTCTTCCAGGAGACAAGTGAATTTCGCAAGCTCTAATCATACTGACTTACCAAATAAAAGAATCATGATGTCTAATCAACTAGGATTATCTCATTAGCATAAATCAACATCCTGTGCTGATGGCTTTCAAGGTTCATAGGCATCGTAGGACAGGCCACAATACCATATGAGAATCTTCAGAGTCACTATGACATATCTGGCAGATCTGGACTGAATCCAGATGCTACCTGCCTCTCATTAGCTAAGACTCATGGAAAGTGTCCCTCTGGCATAGATTCATCCACTGACACAGCTCCCAGGGTGGCACCTATCAGAACCATCTTATTAGTTGGCAATTTTGCATGACTTACATGTCAAACAAGGACATTGTCTCCACAGAAAGCTCATAAATAGGTGGAATTAATTCCAGTACTTTTCAAGCTCTGTGCCTGAAAAGAAGGGCCCAGAAAAGGTGAAGGGCAGATTTCCTTTCATCATCAGGGACACAGGTAAGACACTCCTGGAAAAGCTAGCTGTGTGTTCTGTCATCCTCAGAACAGAATGCCAGTTTTACCTTTGCATACACTAATGTTTGAAATTTTCTGGTTTGTAACTAATAATTACTTATGAATTCCCCTTAAATATGGTGTCAGGGAGCCAGGCATGGTGGCACATGCCTACAACCCCTGCACTTGGGAATTGGAGGAAGAATGATCCTTACCTATATAGTAAATCCAAGACGAGCCTGTCTCAAAAACTCAAAATACAAAACAAAACATCAACCCAAAACAAACAAGAAAAAGAAAAGAAAAAGATGTCAAGAACGGTTAGATATGGTTCATAGATATAATTCCAGAATTTGTATGGAGGCAGAAAAGGATTGCAGGAGGTTCCTTGCCAGCTTAACTAAAACTAAAGTATCATGCGAATTTTAAAGTGATTATACATTGCCTACAAAACTCCATAGATGTTTCTTTCTTTTCTCAAGTTGCCTATTCTGCATTATAGAGCCGGCAGTGGAAATTCCATCCCAGACCAATTAAATCCAAATTAGGTGGGGAGTAAGCAGACATCCACATTTGCAACATCCCAGGCTGTACTCTTGTGCAACCAGTGTGTTCAGAGTAGTTGTATGGTCTGCATTCTTCAGTACCAGAACACCTCACCCACTCCACAGTCCTGGAGACGTGAATGTGTGAGGCAAAGAGTCTTTTCATGGGCAGAGGCAAAATTTTCTATCTCAGATTCTATCTTGCTGATCTTCCTTTGAAGGGTATTGTCAATGCCTTGTGGAGTTTACATCTCATCTTTCAGAAGAATCCACTATACACATAAAGAAAGAAGTCTGTAAATTGTTCAAAGACACTTACATCTTTACAATTTACTTTAGCTCATGGAATCAACTCACACATCTGATTTTCAGATGGAAGAGGGGTTAGAATATCCATGTCTGGGCTTTGCCTTCTGATGTGCCATTGACTTCATTTTGAGCTCAGGATTTCATGAGAATCATCCACAAGACTTTTCCATAAATTAGGCCTCTCCTCATCCTTTTTTCCAGGGTCTCCTTTTGTTTATACACAGCACTGTTCCTAATCTTAGTCAATTTAGCATTTTAGTTGATACTCCTCAATAAGGGAAAGTAGGAAGCCAGGAATTGCAATAAATGACTCTCCTTTAGTTGGACTTTGACATCTCTCGACAAAAAGGAAAAAAAAAAAGTAAACATAGACAAACAATAATTGTTCCCTGTCCCCTGGTTGCAAAGAAATACTTTACAAGAGCCCAGGGCTGCCTAGCAAGAGCAGCATGTCTGCAGACTGGAGCTTCGCCTTAGCAATTACACTCTGCATCTTGGAAGTAAGTGCACTGGCCGCCCCAGGAACCACTCCCAGGTGAGTACACAGTTGGCTGTTTGTCTCTGGAATTTCACTCTGGAATTTGCTATCTCAGAGTCTAATTCTTTAATAGCAAAGTAGGGGGGAAAAAAGGTTAAGCCAAATAGTGATATGTAAAACCCTAGAATTTAAACTTTCAAAACAAATGAAGAAAGACAGAGGGTGTTTCTGCTAGCTTTCTGTGGAAACCTGCTGCTGTTTCTGGTATTTTGTTGTAACAAAGGGGTTCAAATGTTAAGACAAAGAGTTTTCTCTTTGAATACTTGGGATTATGAAATAAAACTGGTTGCCATCAGTATATAATAGATCCGTGTTCATCAGTGTCTAAGAACTGAGTTTAAAAGTAAGAAAGTTAATCTTTCCCTCCTTTATCTCAAAACTTGATCCTTTTTAACTGTTGGCTGCATTGTCCTTTGGCCCCAAATTAAGCAAAGGTTAATCATTTGGCTTTTCTTCCATAACATCCCATGTTGTGCTCCAAGTTGTGTGTCCTGGGTTTTGGATCTATTTCTTCCATCTAAGAATTGCCGTGATGCAGATGGATTAGCTATGCTTGCAGCAAGATCTTGTTTTCTCCCTTTTACTGGCTCATGGTTACAAAGCCCATAGACTATGCTTTGCCTATGGTATGAGAGTGTCCCCAAAGCTGAACATGCTGCAGTCCCCAGGATAGCAGCAGACAGAGGTGGTGGAGGCCTTAGAGAAGCTTTAGACAAGGTAGTTAGGTCTTGGATTTCTACACTACTGAATAGGTTATCACTATCTCTGAAGAGTAGGTCAAGCCTACCCTGTAGGTCTAGCCTGGCCCTTCCTCCATCTCGTTTCCTTTCTTGCACGTTGTCCCTTCTGACTACAGCCACTTCCCTTTTTGCTTTTTAGACCTGTGACACAACCATGGGAGCTCTTTCCAGATGTCAAGACCATGTTGTTTGAAATTTGTAGCCAGCAGAATCATGAACAAAGTACATTTCTTTCCTATATATCACCCTCATCAGGTATTTCGTGACAGCAACACAAAATAGACATTACACTGAACACATTCAACAAGTAAACAAAGAGGACATTAAGAACTTCCTAAACATGACTGCGACTAGGAGTGCTAGAGATTAGGACCTCATGGGATATCCTTCCTGCCTGCCTAATGGGAGAGGACACAAACCTGTGTGGTTCAGTAAAGCATGATGTGCTCTGAAGACAGCAGAGAAACACCCCCTGATGCCAACATCATCCTGAAAGCTGTTGCTCTGTCAGGGCTGACTTGACCTGTATCCAATTCCCCTTTGGTCATTTCACTCTTGGTTTAACATGTCTGTTTTGACTCTGCTACCCACCTCAAGCCATCTTTGCCTGCCTCAGGGCCCAAGCTGCCATTCAGCCTGAACTCCACCCACCAAACTGGGTTGTGTTCATGATAGGAATTTCCATGAGAGGACTCAAAGAGGCACTATCCAGACCCACAGGGGCTCTGGGACAAGTGCTCAGCCAGACCCTCCTTCATCCACCACATTATCTAAGCAGCATTGTCCCATCCAGAAAATATTTTCACTTTCCCAGCATCAGAGCACAGAAGGAATTTGTACTTGAAAAGATGGTTATTGAAAGTTGCTTTAGCTCTCTTTTACTTAACCTGACCGGTTCTTAGGTTAAGAAAAAAAAATGAAACAACCCACATTCCTGGATTGTGGCTCCTATTGATCAAAACTGAGCAGCTGTGGGAAGGCTGTCCCTGCTTTGAAGTTCACACCCCCTGGGTCTTGGCCACACTCAGCTGTTCCAGGCAGGACCAGGCAGTCCCTTGGCCAGCTTCTGCTCCTGGCAGTTGTGCTACCCAGTTCTGCTGAGCATCCTGTACTCTCATAGCCATGCCCTTCAGAATGTGCCAGGATGGCTCCAACTCTGAACACCCTGTGCTGTGCCCTCTGATAGAGGGTGCAGAGACTTCAACCACAACAGGCGACTACTTACTTGAATAATAGTAGCAATGTTTCAACTTTATTTCTAAGTTTCTCACCATATATATTCTGTGAGAAATTGACTAGACATCCACAGCTTGGGTCAAGCTGCCAAGGTGTGTGTGTGTGTGTGTGTGTGTGTGTGTGTGTGTGTGTGCTTACTTTTTTAGTACATTTATGTATTTAGTGTGTGTGTGCATGCATGCATGCACATGCCATGGCAAATGTGTGCAGGCCAAATAACTTTTTGGAGTCTGTTCTTTCATCCTGAGAGACCAACAATTGTGTTCAGATGGTCAGACTCAGCAGGAAGTGCTGAATTTGGGTGGTTCAGTGTCTCCGTGCCTCAATTCCACAGTATATAAGGTGCTGGTTGTGCTTGTTCCCTAAAGGCGCCATAGCAAAGTCCCTAAACCCATTGCTTTAAACAACACAGGCTTATTGTCTCCTAGTCTTGAGGCTGGAGGTCTAAGATCAAGATGTTGATGGGGCCACAATCCCTCTACTACTCTGTGTAGTTTCTGATGGTAGCCTGAAATCCTTGGCATATTTTGGCTTTCCAATCTTATCTCTGTCATCACATAGCCATCTTCCTATCATCTTCTGTATGGATTTTCTTTCTTATTTTTTCCTGACCCTCCTCACCCACTCCCACACTGGGGATTGAATTCTGAACTTTACATATGCAAAACAAGCACTCTATCACTGAGCCACATCCCCAGTTCCCCAGTTTCTCTTTATGAGTGTGTGTGTGTGTGTGTGTGTGTGTATGAGTGCTTGTGTGTGTGTGTGCCATGCACATGAGAGTGGAGGCCAAAGGTCAACCTCAGGTGTCATTCCTCAAACACCGTCCACCTTTGTTTTTGAGACAAAGTCTCTCACAGGCCTGGAACTTCCATGTAGACTAGCCTGGCTAGTCAGTGAGCCCAGGGACCTGCCTGTGTCTGTTGTCCCAGCTCTGGAGTTACCAACATTTTTATTTAAGGTCTAAGAACCAAACTCAGGTCCTCATGTTTGCATAGCAAGCACTTTACCAACTGAATCATCTCCCTAGCCCCTGGATTTATATTTTTACAAGGACACCAGGAATGTTGGATTGGGGCCTACTTCAATGAATCCATTCTGACTCTATTATCCATATCCTATTTATAAGTTCACATTCTTAGATTCTCAGGTACCAGGGCTTAGGACCAGTACATCGTTCACTTTTGGAAGGAATACAATTCAACCCACCACCCTGATAACAGATTCTATGCAGTAAAGATTTTTATGTCTTTTTAAGATTTACTTTTATTATTATGTGTGTGTGTGTGTCTGAACATTAAGTTGTTCATATGTAAAGTACTTCTTTCTTCTGTTCCAGGCACAAGGAAAGAATTTAACAAATATCAGGCACTTTTTATGATAACCTTGCTGCTCTTTTCACTTTAAGATGCTTCCTTGTCTAAAGGAAGGGTTGGAGTAACAGTCGCCTTCAGGGGAAGTCACATGGTTCGGTTGTTCTGTGAACAGTGAATTTGGTAGAGGTTTCCAACTCTCACCTCACCCCAGGAGAACAGGCCCTGAGGATACCACCATGTCCCTTTTCTCAAGGTAGAATGGAAATTTTTACAGCCATGCTGAGAGGAGAATAAAACTTCAGAGCACAGTTTCTGGAGCCAGGCTGCCTGGACTCCAAGTCTCCACAAATTTGCAGCTATGTGCCCAGGGCAGATTCTGTACTGCTTTGACCCTGATTCACACCTTGGAAAGGGGCATAAAAGTGAGGCTTTCCAAGAGGAATACCTGAGACAGTAAACAAAGTGTGTTCAGTGTGCACAGGTAGCTACTATCATTACCTTTTCTTTTAGATTTGAAAATATGAAAATATTCAAAGTTCAAAGACCTAAACTATAGTAAGATGTATTCTGGGAAATCTTGCTTCTCCCTTGTAACTTCTCATGAGGTATATCTTATCTCATGTATAATAATTGGAACACTTTCCCTTCCCACACACCTCCCCTTTGGGTAGCACATGCTAGCTCCTAATGTACCCTTCTTTACGTCAGTGAAAGCACAGAGACATTTAAAATCTTGCTTTTCTGATTTCTTTTAACAGAAAGCATATTCTGTATAATGTCTGGCACACTGATTTTTTTTTTTTGTCATAATATAACTTAGGGAATCTTCTGAATCAAAGTGAAAGTGCTCCCTCATTGTCCTCAGAGTCGAATGACTTTCCATTGTGTAAGTTCAGTTGAGGAAACCTATCTGTGTAATTTCATGTACTTTGTATTAGAAACTGCTGCAGTGAATATCCTTATTTATATAACATTTTATAAGTGGAAACACATCCTACAGATTAATTCCCAGAAGTGATGTATCTGGGTCAAAGGTAGCCAGTCACCTTTGTGACTTTGCCTAACTTGCCCTCTTGCCCTATGAAATTTGTATTACTTTTCATTTACTGGCAGGGTATGAGAATATTTCCCCATAGCCCTGCCACAGGAGAAAGGAGCCAATTTTTTTTGGGGGGGGGTGAGGTTTGCATAGTTTATCACATCCAGGAAAGGATGACTTACAAAGGCATGAGTTCTCACAGGCTTATATTTGAAATGCCTGCCGCCAGCTCATTCTGCCCTGCAGTCTCCATCAACTTTTCATACATTCACCCTGTGGTCCAAATGCCTCATCTCACCCCATGGGGTCCATGTGTGCTGTCTCAACCCGCACGGCCATTTTCCACTCAGTTCTTTCTTGTTCAATATGGCAGCAGCTCCTCCCTTTCATGCAAATGGTTGGGTGGGAGAAGTGATGGACTTCAGCCTGCTTGACTCCTTCCACAGACAATAGCTTGCATCATAGTGGTTGGATGGAGGAACTTCAGGTTACACTCCATCCCTTTCCTCTGGCTCATACAACTTTCTGCCTCCTTCTTCCACAAGGGTCCCTGAGCTTGGAGGTGGTGATAAGTGTGGGACAATCATGGAAGATATTGACCTCTCGAGCTTCTCCATTATTTGTCTTCAAGACTTGGCCACTGATCCATCTTGGTGGTGTCTCCCC